GGTTACACGTGTTTTTCCTGTGATATTTTTAAAGTTTTTATTTCAAATCTTGAAATCACCTAAAATTTATGTCACTGTTCTCCAGGAATGAGGGAGAAATTCAGCTTTTTTCCCCTCCCAAATGGCTACTTATCCCAACACAAGCAATATTAATTGCATGTAAGGCTGCTCTATTCTAGCACAATGCATGCTTTCACAAATACTTGCTAAATGAATAAATGGAAAGCAATACTTGTTTACTCTTTCTACAAATATATATTGAGTACCTACTGCAATATAAACACTATGCTCTGCTTTGCATATAAGAGTAGTGACTCAGCAACCAGGAAGTATATCATCTAGAGGCGAAGACAGGTATTAAATAGTAATCGTACAGCAATATTTTGAACAGGATAAAATTCCTCTTGTGTTGAACACCCAAATGTGCTGGATAAAATATGACATTTTGGTCAGGCATGGTGGCTCATGCCTGTTCCCAGCACTTTGGGAGGCCAAGGAGAGTGGATCGCCTGAGGTCAGGAGTCCAAGACCAGCCTAACATGGTAAAACCCCGTCTCTACTAAAAATACAAAAATTAGCTGGCCATAATGGCAGATGCCAGTAATCCCAGCAACTCCGGAGGCTGAGGCAGGAGAATCGCTTGAACCGGGGAGGCGGAGGTTGCAGTGAGCCAAGATCGCACCATTGCACTCCAGCCTGGGTGACAGAGCGAAACTCCATATCGGAAAAAAAAAAAAAAAGACATTTTAAAATGCAGAGGTGAGCTCACAAGAAACAGATATACTGGGGGCAGGTGCTAAGTAGGAACTGAAAAACCAGAGGCTGTCCTGGGGTGAGTTGTCCTGCTAGGTAATATTAAATATAACATGGATTCCAAAGGGAGCAAGAGACAAGCCTTTGGCCGGCCGGGCGCGGTGGCTCAAGCCTGTAATCCCAGCACTTTGGGAGGCCGAGGCGGGTGGATCACGAGGTCGAGAGATCGAGACCAACCTGGTCAACATGGTGAAACCCCCTCTCTACTAAAATACAAAAAATTAGCTGGGCATGGTGGCGCGTGCCTGTAATCCCAGCTACTCGGGAGGCTGAGGCAGGAGAATTGCCTGAACCCAGGAGGCGGAGGTTGCCGTGAGCCGAGATCGCGCCATTGCACTCCAGCCTGGGTAACAAGAGCGAAACTCTGTCTCAAAAAAAAAAAAAAGAGACAAGCCTTTGGCCATCTGTATTTAATTAAATTGTGAAAAAGAATGGAAATCCATAAATGATTCTGGGAGAAATTAAATATAGTATCTGAGACTTGAGTTCTAGTCCTGTTTATTCTAACATTGACTATCTATGAGGTCATGGTCAAATAGGCTACTTTTACTCTTAATTTCATTCCCTTTTGGGTAAAATGTGAGAATTGAAGTAAAATATCTATAAAGGACATTTCAGCTTTAAAACTTGAAGATTCTGGTCCCCAGCCCCCAGGCCGACGCCACCATGCTGTCCCACCTGCTGAAAGAACACCAGGCCAAACAGAATGAACACAAGGAGCTGCAGGAGAAGAGGAGGCGAGAAGCTATCACAGCAGCGACCTGCCTGACAGAAGCTTTGGTGGATCACCTCAATGTGGGTGTAGCCCAGGCCTACATGAACCAGAGAAAGCTGGACCATGAGGTGAAGACCCTACAGGTGCAGGCTGCCCAATTTGCCAAGCAGACAGGCCAGTGGATTGGAATGGTGGAGAACTTCAACCAAGCACTCAAGGAAATTGGGGATGTGGAGAACTGGGCTCGGAGCATCGAGCTGGACATGCGCACCATTGCCACTGCACTGGAATATGTCTACGAAGGGCAGCTGCAGTCCGCCCCTTCCTAGCCCCTGTTCCCTCTCCCTCCACCCATCCCTTCTACCTCACCCACAGCAGGAAGGAGGGAGACTGACAAGCCTTGAATAAAACATGCCTCCATTTCAGAAAAAAAAAAAACTTGAAGATTCTATGACAGGATATCCCTCTACAAATTTAATTCGACTGCAGTGTGCATGATGGATTATTACAGCAGCCTCCTAACTGATAAACCTGCTTTCAGGCTTGCTCTACCTCCAAAGTCATCTTTTTACTGACCACAAGAACCTTTCCTGATCAGATCTGAATTTTATCTCGATTAAAATTTTGCAGAGGTTTTCCAGAACTTTCAGAGCCTGGGGGACAGAGTGTGAACCTGCCCCCCCCAAAAAAAAACATAAAACAAAAAACGAAAGACCTGTTAAATGAATGAATAAATGTATTGAAGCAAGAAGACCTAGTAAATTTAGCAATACCTCAGGAGCAAAGTAATGCAGGTCTCAATTGATACGGCCATACTAAGAATAGAAAGGTGGTTATTCATCAGTAAATAATCACGGAAACACAATCTATAAGACATAATCAAAGAGTGTCACCGAAGAAAGGCAGCACTTAGAGGAGTGCAAGTTGCAGATAACCAGAGAATTCTTGCTTGTTTCCAAGCAGCTTTATGCGAACTTGCCCTTTTTGCCAATAAAAGCTTCCTTTACCCTTTCCTCACTGGATATACTTGTGACTTGCCATTTCGTGCATCCTGAATTCTAATATTCTCTTCCCATTTCTGAATAAATGCAACATATTTGGAGATATTTTTTCTGCACTTTTTTTTTCTGAGATTGCTAGAGGTCTGATGCATAGGTGCGTATTTGTTAACTATTTAGCTTTAGTGAATCTTAGATGCTGTTTATCATTAAAAAAAAAAAAACTAAATCCAACATCTGGATCCAATGTGTTCATGGAGAATTTCGGGAGACTGAGGCAGGAGGACAGCTTGAGGTCAGGAGCCACCATGTCCCACCCACATGAGATTCTTAAAGAAGGAGGTCACAATCTATGGACAATGTGTACTTGCTTGTGCTAGCCCATTGGATCTAGACTAGGCAACATAGCAAGACATCTCATCTCTAGCAAAAAGCAAAAAACAAAATAACACTACAAAACACATCTGGGCATGGTGGCACGCACCTGTAGTCCCAGCTACTCGGGAGGCTGGGGCAGGAGGCTGGCTTGAGCCCAGGAGTTTGAGGTTGCAGTGAGCTATGCATGTTGCCACTGCACTCCAGCCTGGGTGAAACCCTGTCTCCAAAACTAAACTAAATTTTTTTAAAAATCTGATGAGACTGTGAATTTACTTGCTCAAATCTAGGGAGCTACAAAGTGAGCAAAGTTCACTTTGAGTACAAATGAAGGGAAAAGTTAAAGAAATCCATTAACTGTTGAGCACCTAATATGTGCCAGAAAGCCAGGGAAATAAATGAAAAGTGCAATTGGAGCTTGCAGAAAAGAAGGTCAAGATGCTAAAGAAGGTTTAGTGAAAACTGAACTGGGATTTGATAAGATTAATTAGGATAAACAAAACAGAGAGAAAGAAAAGAATGCAGTTTGTAGGCCAGGTAGAAGAGGAACACATTTTACAGAAGAAAAACAAATCTAGATGTCATTTCTTTTATTTCTCATGTCAAAAACCTGTAGCCCAATTATTTTAAACTCGTTGTTTCCATTTTCAGTCTGTCTACAAGGAAAACTAACTTGATGTAATTAAGGGTAGGGATCAAAGGGCAGATTTTATTTGTATGGTGGTAAAGTTCAAAGTGCTGTTAGCTTCACAAACAATCCGCTAAGACCGAAAACTTCAGGTGTACTCTAGTTGTAAGATCCAACTATTTGAACCATTAAAACTGAGTAGACAAAGGGGAGGATCTGGAAAGGGAAATGAGATATCAAAAACTGATATATGTTTAAAAATACTTTGGAAACGATCTGTTTTTTGAGACTGACAATTAGGAAGATACGTTTTTGGCAGTATATACCAGTTTCACTCTAAAATCACTATTGAACTGTCATTTAACTTTCTTCTATTTATTTGATTTATATTGATTTATTTATTTCAACAACCCAAGCCTAAGTAACACCAAATAAAGGAATAAAGGATTGAAAATGAGGCTTTTTGTTGTTTTTTGAGACTAGGTCTCCCTCTGTCAGCCGGGCTGGAAGACAGCGGCCCAATACCCGCTCACTGCAATCTCTGCCTCCCAGGCTCAAGCTATCCACAGGGTCAGCCTACAGGCGGGACCCGCGGGACCCCCCCACCCCCAAAACCCCCACCCAGCTAATTTTTGTGGAGACGAGGTCTCACTATATTGCCCAGGCTAATCTCGAATTCCTGGGCTAAGGGATCCTCCTGCCTTGGGCCTCCTAAATTATTGGGCTTACAGGCATGAGACACCGAACCGGGCGGAACATTTCTACTCTAATGAAAATTTTAAGTTTTTACAGGATTTTAACATTTTCCTAGTTCCCAACTGTACCTAGCAGTTAAGAGTCCATTTAATGTAATAATTTAGGCTGGTGTTTTATTTTTTGTACACTATTACCCAAAGAACAAAAGTAGGTAACTCCTATAAAGTCTAATAGTCTGAAAATTGTAGTGTCCGTTTTCTCTTTAGCCATAAGGTTAAGTCTTGCTAAATGCTGAGTAGCTTTTTAACGCTCTACTAGATGTACATGCAGGAATACTAAGTGGAGGGGAAGTGATTTTATCTTTTTTTTTTTTTAGTTGAGACGGGGTCTCACTGTGTCACTCAGGCTGGAATGCCAGTGCGCAATTACCACTCACCGCAATCTGTTGACCTCCCCAGGCTCAAGTGATCCTCCCACCTCAGCCTCCAGACTAGCTGGGACTACAGACACGCGCCACCACGCCCGGCTAATTTTTTTGTATTTTTCGTAGAGACGAGGTTTCGCCACGTTGCGGAGGCTAGTCTTGAACTCCTGGGCTCAAGCGATCTGCCTCAGTCTCCCGAAGTGCTGTAATTACGGGCATGAGCCACAGCACCCGGCCATAATTCTATCTTAACCACTATTTTTCAGGAACTATTACGTTTTAAAGAATGAGGAATTAACCGCCAACACTTCAGGTTCAACAGGTAAACAGGGACCCTCATTTGAGAATGAATCACAGTTTGTCACAGTTGTATTGGAAAATCCGCATTTCTGAACGTCATTTTACCATTATGGAAGTATAACTCAGACAAAATAAAATGTTTAACTCACGGCTAGGACCAGAGCACAAATTTTAAAAAGGCAAGACTACGACCTCGACAGTGAACTGTTAATTAACTTGTGCTTCTCACCCCCCAGCCGGGCCCCGCCTTGGTTCAACCAAGGGAAACAAGAGGACGGAGGCCTCGTGCCGTCGCGACGGTCTTTCCACGCCTCAGGTGCACTTAATTCAGTCAGTCCATCCACCCTATCCGCCATGAAAAATTATTTGTTTAGCAGGAATTGCCAAGTCAAATACAGCCATATAAAGCCCCCCTCCGACGTGCCAGGTGTGCCTCGGAAGAGCAGCCACCCAAACCACCAGCAACCTGTCCGCGCCGGAAAATGCGCCCTCACTGGTTTCTGGGACCACTCAGAAAGTTCTAAGCGCCTTTCCCTGTAACGCAGAGGCACACCGGCCTTCCCTTGGGAAACTCTGCGGCCGGACGTGCACCGGTAACCCGTAAAGTGTCAGCGGCTGAAACCCTCAGAACCGCCCAAACAATAACAACCACCGCCGCCAGCGGCGCGAACGGGGCAAAAGATGTTGCGTCCTCGCCGATTGCCGGTTTCCGGAGTCGCGAGCCCGGATCTCACAGGGTCGGTGCGGTTATGCAGTCCACAGCGAGGACCCCGCCCTGCTAAGGGAAAAGGGATGCAGTCTTAGCACCTGGCCTCGTAGAGCCACCGTACTAACAGGCCGAGTCGCGGACAAGTCCCTCAGACAGGCGAATCCGCGGGCAGCCCGAGTGCTCGAGGACCCCGGCGGCGGCTCCGGGTGGCGGGAAGGAGGAAGTTTCAAAAGCCAGGTGTCCTGGTTGCGGCCGCTGGGCGAGATGAAGCTACACTGTGAGATGGAGGTGGTCAGCCGGCACTTGCCAGCCTTGGGGCTGAGGAACCGGGGGAAGGGCGTCCGAGCAGTGTTGAGCCTCTGTCAGCAGACTTCCAGGAGTCAGCCGCGGGCCCGAGCCTTCCTGCTCATCTCCACCCTTAAGGACAAGCTGGGGACCCGCTATGAGGTGCGTAAAGTGGGCAGGACTTGCTGGGCAGTCACCCTTGTGTTCTCGGGAGCAGAGACTCGGGCCGCCCTCGGGCCTCGCGTGCCCCGCTGCTCCCTAGGCAAGAGCCCGCCTTGGGGATCCTGAACTCCCGGCCCTGAGTCTTACCACCATCCCGACACCTTCCTACGGACCCGAAAGAAGAAAGCTTTTGAGAGTGCACCTTTTTTCTGTTGTTGTTTTTTTTTTTCTCCCCACTTTTACAACTCGAATATACGGTGTTGCTATTTAGTAATGGATGGCAATCCCGCCCGTTTAAAGCTTCTGAAATTTTGGTCAGCGGAGTGAAACTGTAAATGAAGCAGCTGTCCAATCGGTGGGAGCAATAAAATAACTGCACTTCTGATCAGTAAATTTTTCTCCCACAGTATTTTCTCTAGCTTGAAAAAAAAGGCAGTCATAGCATCCTGCACTTGCCTTGTCTTGATATTTGTTATGCTTATAAGTACTTGTTTAATAACTATCTCTCATCAGATTGTCAACTCTTTAAGTATAGTTACCTTGTCGGTCTTATTCATTGCTATGTCCCAAGTCCCTAGTAGAATACCTGGTACATAGTGGCTTCCGAGTCGATGGTTGTTGAAATCTAAATCAGATGCAATAGCAATCATTAATTTTTTTTCTTTTTAAAACATTTAAAATATGCCATTTACATAGATGATAGTCATTAAAAGATTTCTGAGCACCCATTATGTGTCAGTCACCGTTCTGGCACTCAGGATAGAATAGCAAAGGAGACAAGATTCCTGCTCTCATGGAGTCTGTATATAATCTACTGGGAGGTGTGACCACCCCAGGCTAATGGACTGAAGTTATGAAGGCAAGTAATTACTATTGGCAACTCTTCCTGCAGTTACAATAGTTGGAATGGGAGAAGAGGAGCATTCTCCCAAAACACGGTGATCATGTTCTTGAAGGAGAGTTACTGGACAGATAGAGCAGTAACATCCACCACCAGCTAGATGAGGGGTGTAACTTCCCAACTGCTTTAAAAAAAAAAAAAAAAAACTTTAAAACTTGGCTGCGGGCTGTGGCTCATGCCTGTAATCCTAACACTTTGGGAGGCCCAGGCGGGAGTTGTAGACCAGCCTGGCCAACATGATGAAACCCTGTTTCTGTGAAAAATGCAAAAATTAGCCGGGCATGGTGGCATGTACCTATAATCCCAGCTACTCAGGAGGCTAAGGCAGGAGAATTGCTTGAACCTGGGAATCGGAGGTTGCAGTGAGCCAAGATGGCACCACTGCACTCCAGCCTAGGTGACAGAGTGAGTGAGACTCTGTCTCAAAAAAAACTTTTAAACTTAAAACTGTGGAAACACCCAGACTTAAGGAGTGAAAGCCAAACCAAAGCCTGGCAAAATGACTGGCACATTCCAGTTGTAATAAATGTTACTGAGTAACCATAACTAGTTTTCTTTTTTTCCTACTGTTTTATGCAGCTAAGGGAGAACATTGAGCAATTCTTCACCAAATTTGTAGATGAGGGGAAAGCCACTGTTCGGTTAAAGGAGCCTCCTGTGGATATCTGTCTAAGTAAGGTATAGTATTAAAAACATTAATGATTAATGTTTGGCTATATTTCTTTATTTTTTAGAAACAGAGTCTTGCTCTGTCACCCAAGCTGAAGTACAGTGGCACAATCATAGCTCACTGCGGCCTTGACCTCCTAGGCTCAAGTGAGATTCCTGAGTATGTGGGACTATAGGTGAGGTACACCTGTACCTCACCACTCCTGGCTGATTTTTTTTTTTTTTTTTTTTTTTTTATAAAGACAGGGTTTCACCATGTTGGTCAGGCTGGTCTTGAACTCCTGACCTCAGGTGATCCGCCTGCCTTGGCTTCCAAAGTGCTTGGATTACAGGCATGAGCCACCACGCCTGGCCATAACTGATTTTTTAAAATAACTTTTTGTAGAGACAGAGTCTTGATACAATGTTGCCCAGGCTGGCCTCGGACTCTTGGCCTCAAGTGATCCTCCTGCCTCAGTCTCCTAACACAATCCCAAAGTGTTGGGATTACAGGCATGAGCCATCATGTTTGGCCTGTGTTTTATTTTATTTTTTTGGTTTTTTTTTTTGAGATGGAGTTTTGCTCTTGTTGCCCACACTGGCGTGCAGGGTTGCCATCTCAGCTCACTGCAACCTCCACTTCCTGGGTAGCTGGGATTATATGTGCCTGCTGCCATGCCTGGCTAATTTTTTTTTTTTTTTTTTTTTTTTTTTTTTTTTGCATGTGTGTCTTTAGTAGAGACAGGGTTTCACCATGTTGACCAGGCTGGTTTTGAACTTCTGACCTCAGGTGATCCACCCACCTTGGCCTTCCAAAGTGCTGGGATGACAGGTGTGAGCCACTGCTCCTGGCCTGGCCTGTGTTTTCTTTAAAGAAGGCTTTTTGTACATTCTGATATCCCATATAGCTGAAGAGGGACAGACTCTCGTAGGTTTGTTTGAAGAGGCAATGGCACAAGAGGCAGCTTCCCAAATATGTTTGTGTGCCTTCTAAAAGGGCAAAGTCTGCCTTAGTAAGATTCCCAACGTGGGCAAGAAAACTGGGTTTGCTTCCATGCTGAAAATGGAGCCCTTGGGTATTCTTAGACTGGAACTCTGTAAGGCAACTGGCACAGGTCTATATTTTGACAGCTAAAGCGCAGTTGCAAATCTAAGTTTGGTGTAATAAAAGAGGAAAAAATCAGTTAGAACCATTTGTATTTGATTTACTATAATCAATTTTTGTTTTTTGAGATGGGATCTCACTCTTACCAGGTTGAAGTGCAGTGGAAAGAGCTTGGCTCACTGCAACCCACAGGCAGGTGCCACTACTCCGGGGAGGCAGAGGTTGCAGTGAGCCAAGATTGCACTATTGCACTCCAGCCTGGGAAACAAGAGCGAAACTCTGTCTCGAAAAAAAAAAAGTGTAATAACTAAGGAGTTTAGATTGAATGAAATCATTTCGTTTCTTCTCCTCCTTGTGATTTTTAATTTTTTTTCTTGACCTGTAGCCTATTCTTTCACTAATTCCTCCTTTCTATCAAAAAACAAACGGAGGTCACACTGATTTAAAAAAAGAAAACAAATTTCTAGAAAGACAAGGCTGAATCCGTTGCCTCCACTTTTTATCTTTTTGGCCTTAACTTTTACCAGTTTTTTGAAAGCACTGCCTCAGTGATCACTGATCTTTTTCAGTTGTCTATCACATTATCATTATTTCTCATTCTTTATGAACTCTATAGAATTTGACAATGATAATTACCCTTAATAAAACTCTTTTCTTGGTATCTATGAGGGGGATCTATGGTTTACCTTTAGTTTTCTTAGCCACTTTTTCTCCTGCCTCCAGCAACATTTTTTTCGATCTTCAAAATGAAGGCTTTATTTCAGTCCTCTGCTGTTTTCTGTCATACCTGCCTTCCATTTGATAGCTCAGCTGTTACATGGTTTATTCCCAAGTCTGTGAGCCAGTATGCTTTATTGTACCTAGTTGACCTGTTCATTATGACCTGTTCATTTCTTACTCCTGTTCATTGTGTATAGTGCTGCCAAAATAGTATTTAACTCTTGTCATGTAACTTTTTTTTTTAAGCCAGTCAAATTTAGCAGTGGGGGGTTATATACCAACTTCAGTGACATTTACGTTAATAAGTTCTGATAGTAGGGACATGGATGAATCTGGAGAACATCATTCTCAGCAAACTGACACAAGAACAGAAAATGAAACACCGCATATTCTCACTCATAGGCGGGTGATGAAAAATGAGAACACATGGACACAGGGAGGGGAGTACTAAACACTGGGGTTTATTGGGGGGAAAAGGGGAGGGCCAGTGGGAGGGGGAGGTGGGGAGGGATAGCCTGGGGAGAAATGCCAAATGTGGGTGAAGGGGAGAAAAAAAGCAAAACACACTGCCATGTGTGTACCTATGCAACTGTCTTGCATGTTCTGCACATATACCCCAAAACCTAAAATGCAATAAAAAATTAAAAAATAAAAATAAAAAAATAAGTTCTGATAACCCACTACCATCAGACCCTGTCATGTAACTTTCATACTTAAAATTCTTCGGTGACTTCCCACAGCCTGAATACTCTTTCCACTTTACCTTGAGATCTGAGCTCATTTACAGTCTATCCTCATACTACATTTCCAATCTTTTACTCTATGTAATTCCCACATTCCAACAAAATATCATCACATACTTGATTTCTCAAACTTGCTCAAAGTTTACTTGTGTTTCACCTGTAAACTTTAGGAAACTTGTAAAGTATCCTATTAGTATTAGCTTTTTTCTTTTTTTGATGTAGACTTGCTCTGTCACCCAGGCTGCAGTACAGTGATACAATCTCAGCTCACTGCAACCTCTGCTTCCTGATTTCAAGCAATTCTCCTGCCTCAGCCTACCAAGCAGCTGGGATTACAGGCGCCCGTCACTACATCCAGCTAAATTTTAAACTTTTAGTAGAGGCGGAGTTTCACCATGTTGGCCAAGCTAGCCTCTAACTCTAAACCTCAAGTGATCTGCCTGCCTCAGCCTCACGAAGTGTTGGGATTACAGGTGTGAGCCACTGTGCTCAGCCTTTTCGTTCCTTTTTTTTTCTTTTTTGAGATGGAGTTTCACTCTTGTCGCCCAGGCTGGAGTGCAGTGGCACGATCTCGACTCACTGCAACCTTTGCCTCCTAGGTTCAAGCAGTTCTCCTGCCTCAGCCTCCTCTGCCTCCCAAGTAGCTGGGATTACAGGCATGCGCCACCACCCCCAGCTAATTTTTGTAATATTAGTAGAGAAGGGGTGTCACCATGTTGACCAGGTTGGTCTCAAACTCCTGACCTGAAGTAACCTGCCCACCTCAGCCTCCCAATGTGCTGGGATCATAGGCGTGAGTCATTATGCCTGGCCTTAAACTAAAATCTTTTTTTTTTTTTCCTCAGACAGAGTCTCACTCTGTTGCCCAGCCTGGAGTACAGTGATGTCTTGGGTCACTGTAACCTCCGCCTCCAAGGTTCAAACGATTCTCCTACTTGAGCCACATAGTAGCTGGGATTTACAGGCGTGTGCCACGGCACCCAGCTAACTTTTGTATTTTTAGTAGAAATGGGGCTTCACCATGTTAGCCAGGCAGGTCTCAAACTTCTGACCTCAAGTGATCACCTGTCTCGGCCTCCCAAAGTGCTGGGATTATAAGCATGAGCCACTGCACCCTGCCTAAACTCAAATCTTAAGTGGAATATTCAGTCCTTTCCTGTCTTATATTATACTCTTATGATTTCCCTTTATTTTTGCTTTTTGCTGTTGTTTTTTGAGACAGTCTCACTCTGTTGCCCAGGCTGGAGGGCAGTAGTATGATTCTGGCTTACTACAGCCTCTACTTTCTGGGCTCAGATAATCCTCCCACCTCAGCTTCCCAAAGTGTTGGCATGACTTCCCTTTGAACAGTTTTATCTAGAACGTGTTCCTCCACATAATTTTTCTTCAAAAACTTTTAGACTTTAAATTTAGTCAAAATACTAAAAAAAAAATATGTTTTACAACCAATTTCAATAAATCATTGTATCATATTCATAAGTAATACTGTAGAATTTGTGGGAAGAACTAGCATGTATGCATTTTCTACAGTGGAATTTATAATTCTACAACTTTTTTTTATTCAGGCCAATTCCAGCAGTTTAAAAGGTTTCCTTTCAGCTGTGAGATTGGCTCATAGAGGCTGCAATGTTGATACGTCGGTTTCAACGCTCACAGCAGTGAAGACTTCAGAATTCGAAAACTTTAAAACTAAAATGGTTATCACATCCAAAAAAGACTATCCTTTAAGCAAGAACTTTCCATATTCCCTGGAACATCTTCAGACTTCTTACTGTGGGCTTGTCCGAGTTGATATGCGTATGCTTTGCTTAAAAAACCTTAGGAAATTAGACTTGAGTCATAACCATATCAAAAAGCTTCCGGCTACAATTGGAGACCTCATACACCTTCAAGAACTTAACCTAAATGACAATCACTTGGAGTCATTTAGTGTAGCCTTGTGTCAGTCTACACTCCAGAAGTCACTTCGGAGTTTGGACCTCAGCAAGAACAAAATCAAGGCACTCCCTGTGCAGTTTTGCCAGCTCCAGGAACTTACAAATTTAAAACTTGACGATAATGAATTGATTCGATTTCCTTGCAAGATAGGACAACTGGTAAACCTTCGCTTTTTGTCAGCAGCTCGAAATAAGCTTCCATTTTTGCCTAGTGAATTTAGAAATTTATCCCTTGAATACTTGGATCTTTTTGGAAATACTTTTGAACAACTTGAAGTCCTTCCAGTAATAAAGCTGCAAGTCCCATTAACTTTATTGGAATCTTCTGCACGAAACATTTTATATAATAGGTAAGATTTTAATAGTCATGTAATGTATTTTTGATGGCATTCTAATATTCTCATCAAACTCAGAGTAATAAAGTGTAACATTGCTTACAATACTATGCACAGTCTGACCCTTTGCTATTATGGCCTTCTTGCTATTCCTTACCACTGCTTAGAATGATTTTTCTCCAGGAAGTCTCGTGGCTCACTCCCTCACCTCATTCAGTTCTCTGCCCAAGTGTCATCCCAGAAAGGTCATACCTGTCCATTCTACATAAATTTTATTTCTTACCTCCTTACATGCTTGGTTTTTTAATTTGGTTTATTTTTGGTCATAGGACTCATTGTCTATATATATATATATATATATATATATATATATATATATATAATTTTTTTTTTTTTTTTTTTTAACCTGAGATGGAGTCTCACCCCATTGCCCAGGCTGGAGTGCGATGATGTGATTTTTGGCTCACTGCAACCTTTGCTTCGTGGGTTCAAGCAATTCTCCTGCCTCAGCCTCCAGAGCAGGTGAGATTACAGGTGACCGCCACCATGCCCAACTAATTTTTTTATATCTTTAGTAGAGATGGAATTTCACCATGTTGGCCAGGCTGGTGTCAAACTCCTGACCTCGTGATATGCCCGCCTCAGCCTCCCAAAGTGTTGGGATTACAGGCATGAGCCACTGCACCTGGCCTGTTAACATATTTTTAAAACTTTTTTTTGTTTGCTGCCAGTTTTTCTTCACTAGAATGTAAGATCCATGAGCATATGGATGTTGTTTTATTCTCCACTATTTCCCTAGGAGCTAAACCATATATCTCCTGCTCCTAGCATATATTAAGCACTCAATAAGTAGTTAAATGGGCTGGGTGCGGTGTTCACACCTTTAATCCCAGCACTTTGGGATGCCAAGGCGGGCAGATCATGAAGTCAGGAGTTCGATAGCAGCTTGATGGCGTGCTCCTGTAGTCCCAGCTACTTGGGAGACTGAGGCAGGAGAATCGCTTGAACCCAGGAGGAGGATGTTGCAGTGAGCTGAGATCGTGCCACTGCACGCCAGCCTGGTGACAGAGCAAGACTCCATCTCAAAAAAATAAAACTAAGTAGTTAAATTAATGAATGGCATTGTTTCTCAAAGTGTGCTCCCCTGACCAGCAGGATCTGCATCACCTAGGAACTTCTTAGAAATGGAAGTTCTAACATTCCAGACCTATGGAATCAGAAACTGATAGTGGGGTCCAGCTATCTACGTTTAGTGAGTTCTCCAGATGATTCTGATGTACCATAAAATTAGAGAATTGGCATAATGATGAAGTGTGGTCTTTGGAGTAAGACTTGGGTTTGATTCCTGGCTTCACCTCTTTGTATGACTTTTAACCTCTTTTTTTTTTTTTGAGACAGGGTGGCTGGAGTGCAGTAGTCCAGTCTCAGCTCACTGTAATTTCTGCCTCCTGGGTTCAAGCGATACTCCTGCCTCAGCCTCCTAAATTCCTGGGATTACTGGTGCTTACTACCATGCCTAACTCATTTTTGTATTTTTATTTTATTTTATTTGGTTTTTTTTTTTTGAGGCAGTCTCACTGTGTCTCAGTGCAGTGAGTCTCCAGGCTGGAATGCAGTGGTATGATCTCACCTCACTGCAGCCTCCATCTCCTGGGTTCAAGCAATTCTCCTGCCTCAAGTCTCCCAAGAAACTAGGACTACAGGCGCCCACCACCACGCCCTGCTAATTTATTTTGTATTTTTAATGGAGATGGGGTTTAACTGTGTTGGCCAAGCTGGTCTTGAACTCCTGACCTTGTGATCCGCCTGCCTCAGCCTTCCAAAGTGCTGGGATTACAGGTGTGAGTCACTGCGCCTGGCCTTGTGTTTTAAATTTTTGAGACGGAGTTCCTGCTCTGTCACTGAGGTTGGAGTGCAGTGGCATGATCTCGGCTCCCTATGACCTCTGTTGCCCGAGTTCGAGCAGTCTAGCCTAGGCAACAGAGCAACACCCTATCTCTAAAGATTTCTTTTACTTAAAAGAAAACCCACTGATAACTGGGCATGGTGGCACACATCTGTAGTCTCAGCTACTTTGGAGGCTGAGGTGGGAGGATCATCTGAGCCTAAAAGTTTGAGACCAGCCTGGGCAACGTGGCAAAACCCTATCTATAAAAAATAAACCAGGCTGGTCACGGTGGTTCATGCTTATAATCCCAGCACTTTGGGAGGCCCAGGCAGGAGGATTACATGAGGTCAGAAGTTCAAGACCAGCCTGGTAGACATGGTGAAACCCTGTCTATACTAAAAATACAAAATTAGCCAGGCGTAGTGGCACATGCCTGTAATCCCAGCTACAAAATAAATCACTGCCTTACATTGTGCTTCTCAAACTTTAATTTGCATTCAAATCTGCTGGGAGTCTTGTTAGCAGATTCTGTTTCAGAGGTCTGGGGTGGAAATCCTACATTTCTAACAAGCTTCCATATGTGGTTGCTAGTCCATGGACCATACGTTGGTGCCTTCTAAAAGTACTGTTAATTACTAAGGCTCTAAATGTAATTTAAGTACTCACTGTTTTAAGGCAGTGATTCTCAAAATTTTAAGAGTATATCAGAACTATGGTTGTTGAAATAGTGCTAGTTTAAAAAGATTGTTGGACCCTAACCCTCAGTGATTCTGATTCTATAAGTTTAAGGTAGAGCTAAAGAAATTGCATCTCTGCTTGTTGTTGGGTTTTCCTTTTTTGGATTTTTTTTTTTTTAGGTTGTGTTGTTTTGTTTTGTTTTTGAGACAGGGGCTCACTCTGTCACTCAGACTGGAGTTCAGTGACACATACATAGCTCACTGCAACCTCAGACTCCTGGGTTCAAGCCATCCTCCCACCTCAGCCTCCTGAGTAGCAAGGACTACACATGCCACTAAGTTCTGGCTTATTTTTGGTAGAGATGGGGGTTTGTTGTCCAGGCTTGTCTTGAAACTCCTGGCCTCAAGCAATCCTCCTGCCTCAGCCCCCCAGAGTACTGGTATTACAGGCATGAGCCACTGCGCCTAACCAAGAAATTGCATCTCTGACAAGTTCCCAGATAATGCTGATGTTGCTGGTCAGGGTACTACATTTTCGAATGACTGGTTTAAAGCATTTACCCCTAACTAGCAGTTAAGAATGGTATTAAATGACAATACTCATAATTGCCTATGACTGTGCCTAGCTATAAAAGGCCTTAATGTTTTTTTCTGAGGTAGGAGAATCGCTTAAACCCGGGAAGCAGAGATTGCAATGAGCTGAGATCGCACCACTGACTCCAGCCTGTGCAACACAGAGAGACTCCATCTCGAAAGAAAGAAAGAGAAAGAGAGGGAAGGAAGAAGGGAAGGAAGGGAAGAAAGGAAAGAAAGGAGGGAAGGGGAAGAAAGGAAAAGAGAAAGATCTCCAGAGGTGATACTGATGATTCAGGTTAAAACCATTGATTTGAGGAAACTTCAAATGGTATCTTTTGGCATTGGGGTGCACCTGAGGCTATTGTTTCTCTAAGACATCAGTAAAAGAAATTGTATATTGTATTTATTCAAATTTGGAAAGTATGTCCAAATGAGAAATGTTATAAATAGTTTTGATTTGAAAAGACTATAACAAGTTGGCTAAATTATCAGGGAAAACGTGCTGAATTTCAATATGAAAAAGTACAAAGTTGGAAGGAAAAGAATAGATGATCAAAATATGATATAATTGGCAAGGCATAATTCGGCAGAAAATTGACCCCTATTAATATAGCTTTCTTGTAAGGTGACCAAACCTTTACTGAAGTATAATTTTGCATGTTTTAAACTCCCTTGTCTTAAAAAGTGTATAGATTCAAAGCCGTGACAGCAGTACTTATTGTCTAGCTGTTGATACATGGCCCTAACTACTGGTTACAAGCATATGGTTGTGATCTATTAGGAAATTATGTGGGAATTTAAGTTATGTCACATAGAAAATAGTTTTTAACTATTATCTGTTTCCTCAGACTGCAACCATCTATCCTGATAAAGATAAATGTAAACATGTGGAAGACACTTACTGGCAGAGTTTTTCAAAATGGTTACTTACACAAGCAACAGATTAATAAAGTCTTTTTATGAAAATTTTTAAAATTGCAAATAGGGCCATCCTAGATCCCCTTCCAAAGGTAACCACTGCTTTTTAAATTGAAATGTGTATCTTCTCAGACTTTTCTGATAGGGCTTTGAACTTTAAGTTATAAGACTAGGCTTATTTGTTGAAAAATATCTGAGCACCTATTATGGGCCAGCCTAGGCTAGAAACGAGAAACAACAAAGAACAAGACACTGTGTAGGAGGCAAAGTGAGTGGGGACGTTTAGTGGGGACGTTTGGGCAGTGGTCCAGACTGTCTTTTAGTGTCTTGTAGACGATTTAAAAATTAGACTTGGAAGCCTAGTGTAGTAGCTCGTGCCTGTAATCACACCACTTTGGGAGTTCGAGGTGGGTGGATCACTTGAGGTCAGGAGTTCAAGACCAGCCTGGCCAACATGGTTAACCCTGTCTCTACTAAAAATGCAAACATTAGCTATGCATGATGGTGTCTGCCCATAGTCCTAACTGCTCAGGAGGCTGAGGCAGGAGAATTGCTTGAACCCTGGAGGTGGAGGTTGCAGTAAGCTGAGATTGCACCATGTACTCCAGCCTGGGCAAGAGAGTGAGACTCCGTCTCAAAAAAAAAAAAAGTTTAGGCTAGGAACAGTGGCTCACACCTGTAATCCTAGCACTTCTGGAGGCTGAGGTGGGTGGGTCACCTTAGGGTCAGAAGTTTGAGACCAGCCTGGCCAACATGGTGAAACCCCATATCTACTAACTACAATACAAACAAAAGTTAGCCAGGCGTGGTGGTGAACGCCTGTAATCCCAGCTACTAGGAAGCTGATGCAGAAGAATTGCTTGAACTCGAGAGGCAGAGGTTGCAGTAAGATTGTGCCTCTGCACTCCGGCCTGGGCATCAGAGAAAGATTCTGTCTCAAAAAATAAAAAGTTTGACTTGGGCACCATTAGAAGAATTTTAAGTGTGAGGGTGAAATGCCTTAAGCAAGGTAAGGTTAGCCTACTTGCCCAGCCACTAAAGTAAAACTCATGACCCAAGTTACATGTCTTTTAAATTTGTCTTACAGAATTTAAATTTCCCTTTTGAACAATTGATCCTTAGGAGAGCCTGTTTAAGGAACGGTGACTTTTTCATTCTATTAGAGAGTTATGCTGTTAAGTGGTCATCCTGGAAGATATTTTATGGTATGGTATCTGAAATTTACAGTATGTCGTATATTTTAAATATACTAGTCATTTAACAAAGTTAATTTTATTTTTCATTGTTATAATTTCATGTCCTAATAATTCATGTCCTGAATCTAGTAACATGTTATAAAATATTTTTATCATTCTTTCCAATAGGATTCCCTATGGCTCTCATATCATTCCATTCCATCTCTGCCAAGATTTGGACACTGCAAAAACCTGTGTTTGTGGAAGATTCTGTCTGAACTCTTTTATTCAAGGAACTACTACCATGAATCTGCACTCTGTTGCCCACACTGTGGTCTTAGTAGATAATATGGGTGGTACTGAAGCACCTATTATGTCTTATTTCTGTTCTCTAGGCTGTTATGTAAATTCCTCTGATATGTTAAAGTAATGAATGATACTACAAAAAAATTTCAATTACAGATGAGTTTGGGATGCATGTATGATTTTACAGCATCAAATTGGAGTAAGGGAAGCTTTCTGTATACATGCTGGAGAGGAGGAATGTGTATAGTTTATAATCATTTGACTCCAAAACTTTTATTAAAACCAATTTAATTTTATTGTGGTTTTTTTTTTTAGTTTATTACACTTACGTTTATTTCAAAAGTTTCCAAGATGTGTTGTAGAGTTATCTTTTAACGTTAAACAGATATTGATCCCAATTACTCTGTTCATAAGAATTTTATAAACTTTCTTCTTACATTTCAGTTAAACACATCTGAGTTTCTGTATGCATAAAATAAATTATAGTGAAAACTTGTTTATTATGAAATTATATGTAAGTTTTTAAGCATACCACTTGTGTTTTTCAGGCACATTGTTCTACATGTGGAATTTACATTTGCCAAGCAAAAAGTAGGAATTGTTTAGGGAAAGAATTAAGCTTTTATAATTTTTAAAAATGTTCCCGTAATCTTTGTTGTGATTTCTGTTTTTGTTTTTGATTTTCTGAGACAGGAGTCTCACCCTGTCACCCAGGCTGGAGTGCGTGGTGCAATCTGGGCTTACTGCAACCTCCTCCTCTGCCTCCTGAGTAGCTGTGATTGCAGACACACACCACCATGCCCGGCTAATTTTTTGTATTTTTCAGTAGAGACAGTGTTTCACCATGTTGGCCAGGCAGGTTTCGAGCTCCTGACCTCAAGTGATGCGCCCGTCTCACCCTCCGAGAGTGCTGGGATTACAGGCATGAGCCACCGTGCCTGGGGATTAGGTAGGAGAGGGAACAGAAAGTTGCTGCTTTTTTGCTGATTAGATTTTGTATGAGGGTGGGTTTTTTAAAAATTATTTTTGCCATATTAAATGATAGAATGTTTACAGTTTTTAATTTTAAAAGTAATGATAATACAGCAGCTAAATGGTGATTTGGGCCCAGTACAGTGACTCATGCATGTAATTCCAACACTTGGGGAGGTCAAGGCGGGCAGATTGCTTGAGCCCAGAATTCAAGACCAGCTTGGGCACCAAGACAAAACCCCATCTCTATGAAAAATGCAAAATTTAACAGCATTGTGACGCACACCTGTAGTTTCAGTTACTCAGGAGGCTGAAATGGGAGGATCACGAACCTAGGAGACAGAGATGGCAGTGAGCCAAGATCCTGCCACTGCACTCCAGCCTGGGTGACAGATGGAGACCCTGTCTCAAAAAAAAGATGACATCAACTAGGACATAAAAAATGGAACTAGGACATAAGAAATTCTTTTCCATGAAAGAATCATGGAAAATAGACCAGTATTAACTTTTTTACATTCTGTTCATTCCCAGTGTCCTACCTCAAGTCAGCCTCTCCAACAGAATATTGCAGTAACCTCAGACTGGTTTTTGTGAACAGAGGAAAGAATAAAAGTTACCTGAGAAAAGCACTCTCCAGTGTTACATAATGTAATTGCTATTTTGGGGTTGTTAGCAGGGTCTCCGTGAGACTATTTCTTAAAAAATAACTACCCCCTTTGTCTTCCTAAAATGTTTGTTTGGGGCATTCTTTTTTGAAAATTCAGGTGCTCCTAAGTAGATGGATTTTATGTATTTATTTATTTGAGATGGAGTCTCGCTGGAGTGCAGTGGTGTGACTTCAACTCACTGCAACCTCTGCCACCTGAGTTCAAGCAATTCTGCCTCAGCCTCCTGAGTAGCTACAATTATAGGCACGCGCCGCCATACCTGGCTAATTTTTGTATTTTTAGTAGAGATGGGTTTTCACCATATTGGTAAGGCTGGTCTCGAACTCCTGACCTTGTGATCTGCCCAGCTCAGCCTCCCAAAGTGCTGGGATTGCAGGAATGAGCCACTGCACCTGGCGTAGATGAAGTTTGAAATGTTAGAACATTTTTATTGAAACTGCATATATGATCTTCAAAACAGTTTCTACTTTGCTGATTCTCTGAGATACCAGAATTGGTCCAGAGTCAGTTTAATTCTTCCAAGAAAAATATTATATAATGCAAATGTGCTTTTAATAGAACTGCTGTTTATCTTTGTTCCAGGTGTTTTGTTTATTTATTTATTGAGATGGAGTCTCCCTTCTTTGCTCTGGCTGTTGTGCAATGGCGCAATCTCAGCTCACTGCAACCTGTCTCCTGGGTTCAAGCAATTCTCCTGCCTCTGCCTCCCCAGTAGCTGAGATTACAGGCATGTGCCACCACGACTGGCTAATTTTTGTATTTTTAGTAGAGATGGTGTTTCACCATGTTGGCCAGGCTGGTCTCGAACTCCCTAACCTCAAGTGATCACCGGCCTTGGCCTCCCAAAGTGCTGGGATTACAGGCATGAGCTACCATGCCTGGCCATTCCAGGTGTTGTATAAATAGCATTTTTTTTTCTTTTTTTGAGACGGAGTTTCATTCTTGTTACCCAGGCTGGAGTGCAATGGCGCAATCTCGCTCACTGCAACCTCCACCTCCTGGGTTCAGGCAATTCTCCTGCCTCAGCTTCCTGAGTAGCTGGGATTACAGGCACGCGCCACCGTGCCCAGCTAATTTTTTGTATTTTTAGTAGAGACGGGGTTTCGCCATGTTGACCAGGATGGTCTCAATCTCTTGACCTCGTGATCCACCCGCCTCGGCCTCCCAAAGTGCTGGGATAATTGGCATTTTATTTAATCTTTACAAATCACCCTAGGAGGTAAGTATCATGAACCCAGATCAGATTTTAAACCCAGGCTACTGCCTTCTAGTTAATTCACTTTTGGTCTTTAAAACCAAAAATTCTCAAAGTAAAATATTTTAGGATTTTCTAAACTTGTAAGTTGCTGAGGGATTGCCTATAAATATTACAAAACAGCTGCATTAAAGCATTCTTTAAAAAGTGATGGTAGGCCAGGCGTCTCACTCCTGTAATCCCAATACTTTTAAGAAGCTGAAGTGGGTGGATCCCTTGAGCCCAGGAATTCTAGACCAGCCTGAACAACATGGCAAAACTCTCTCTCTACAAAAAATATAAAAATTAGGTGAGCGTGGTGCTACATGCCCGTAATCCCCACTACTAGGAAGGCTGAGGTGAGAGGATAGCTTGAGCCTGGGAGGTCAAAGCTGCAGTGTGAGTTGTGAGCATGCCACTGCACTCCAGCCTAGGCAAGAGCAAGACCCTGTCTCCAAGAGGAAAAAGTGATGGTGATGTATTTTAAAAATAAACTTGTCTACATGATTTTTACATCTTACTGTTTTTTACAATCACAGATGCAGTTATTGGGATTATGTGCAAACCATCTGTTACTCTTAGACCCTAGCCCTTTGTGTTCTATTCAGTCATTTTAGTCAACTTAAATTCATATACAAAAGGCAGAATTTGTCCTCTTCCAGCCCATACCTCTCCCGTTTTTCATTTGATGCTGAACTTTTCTTGCCTTTCATAATTACAAAGCTCAATTATTATTCATTGTTAATTTCAACCTTTTTATTTTCACTTGTAACTCCTAAATCTTCCCAACTGTCAAGAAGTTCTGGCCAAGCACAGTGATAAGACACCCGTAATGCCAACTTTCGGAGGCTGAGATGGAAGAATTGCTTGACCCCAGGAGTTGAGACTAGCCTGGGCCAACATAGACCCCATTTTTTTTTTTTTGGAGTTTCACTCTTCTTACCCAGGCTGGAGTGCAATGGCCTGATCTCAGCTCACTGCAACCTCCGCCTCCAGAGTTCAAGTAATTCTCCTACCTCAGCCTCCCGAGTAGCTGGGACTACAGGCGCACGCCACCATGCCCAGCTACTTTTTGTATTCTTAGTAGAGACGGGGTTTCACCTTGTTGACCAGGATGGTCTCGATCTCGACCTCGTGATCCACCCACCTCGGCCTCCCAAAGTGCTGGGATTAGAGGCGTGAGCCACCGCACCCAGCCAGACCCCATCTCTAAAAAAATAATTAGATGGGCAAATTAGCTGGGTATGGTGGTGCCCAACTGCTCCAAGGCTAAGGCAGGACCTATAGAGCCTGAGAGGCTGCATGCAGTGAACCATGAACATGACACTGCACTCCAGCGTGACAGTGAGACTTTATCTCAAAAAACAAAAATTTTTAGTACCTCCTGGAGTGTGTTCTGATTCAAATAACAAGGTTTATGCTATCTTGGACTTCAGACTTTAACTAGAGTCAGAACTTTTTGTAGTTTGACGTCAATTTTGAAGTATTCCTTTACATTCAAGGCCAGTCTACAGTGCTGTCCAAAATAACTTTCTGAGATACCAGAATTGGTCCAGAGTCAGTTTAATTCTTCCAAGAATTAAACTGGTAGAAATGTATTATATTTCTGTGTTGTCCAATCAACTAGGAACATGTGGCTGCTGAGTACTAAATGTGACTAGTCTAACAGGAAGCAAATTACCTGGCTAGTGGCTACTACTAGACAGAACATTTGCAGTCAGCTCTTATCCCCCAACTTCAATCCTCTGCCCCAGCCAGCCTGCTAAACACAAGCCTAGCATATCTTGTTTCTTCTCTTGCAAAATTGGATTCAAAGACCCTTCTAAGCTGCTCCATGATTATGAATTCACTCAACATTTGAAATTGACCAGAAAACAAAATATCATTTTTCCTTCCATTTTCTAGATATATAAACTTGGTTGTAAAGTTTTGAGGTGGGACTTTATATGTAAATACAAAATTCTAATTCTTGGGAACTGAATTTAAATAGAATTTGTCAAGAAGATAAACCTCATTTGATTCCAAAAAATTCACTGCTATTTCCTTAATCTAGAACTACACTAAACATGGAATTCTATTTATAAGTAAAAACCACAAAAGGTTTGCATAAGAATATCACTGTATTTATTTTCCTACAGGTAATTTTTCTACAGCTTCAACATTTTCTTTCCAATATTAAATGAAAAAATTCCAAAGTTTAGAACTGGATCACTTGGCCCTTTCTCTTCTTATCTCCTCCCAGTTCAAAATGCTTGCATCTCTTAATGGCCAGCATCCTCTTGGATCTGCAGTTAGGCTCAACACATTCCAGCCGGAGCACAATCTTCTTTGTGGTCTTAGCCTTCTTCCGGAAAATTGGCTTTGTCTGCCCACCATAGCCACTCTGCTTCCGATCATAGCGCCTCTTTCCCTGGGCATACAAGGAATCCTTGCCCTTCTTGTACTGTGTCACTTTGTGAGGCTGATGCTTGCCACACTTCTTACAGAAGTTTCTTCGGGTTTTAGGTACGTTGACCATCTTTGCAGAAGGGCTGGTCTGTCTATATGATGAAAACTATACAAAAATATTTAAAATAAGATAGACATTAAACATTCCGAAAAGTGAAAGTGCTATACAAGCAGACATAGGAAAACCGTATACACAGTAATATATATATATCCACCACGTACTCATTTTCCATATGAATAAATGCACATACAAGTGCATACCTTTTTTAAACACTTCGTTTAAATTACTGGAGGACTAATTTGTCGACGTAAAGGAAAAAACTGAGGCAAAATTCATGCAAGTAGAGTATTTGGGCCAAGTTTGAGGACTGCAACCGAGCACAGATTCAAACTGTCCTGAAGAGCAGCAGATGCAAGTGGGTTTTCAGAGGAAAAAAATGGCAGTTCCTAAGTTGTTTAATAAAACGTTACATTAAAATAATATAAGCGATTGATTGGCTATGCAGCGTTCTTTTTATGACAAATTCCAGGAACACAGACATAATGGGTGAGACAGCTAGTCAGGGATAAAATGCCAGGCATGAAGTGGGGAGGTGTTTGAACTTCCATACTCCTGTCTCTCCCGGCTCAGCGAATTTTGCACACCTCAACTCAGAATGCTCTGGGCCATTTTTCTTTTCTCAGAACGAGATTGAAGAAAACCAAGAGCAGCAGTTTCAGGAGGCCCAATACAGTCAGTTTTCTGTACGAAATGGGTTTAATTCTGCCCCAAAAGGAAGGCACGGTTCATTTCATTTTCTTCCGCAGAAAAGAGGTTAAGGGCAAGAGTTTGACGCCCCCCCAACCCCCACCTCCTCCATTTTCCAGCTCTAGGGAATGGCTGGGGCCGTGCGCGACGTTGTAGCTACGGTTACCACCCGTCCCGTTCCTTCTCCGAGAACCAAATCAGCGTGGATTCACTTTTCCCGTGCGGTCACCCGTCAGCAACCACGAAGGCTGACGTGTCCTCATCAAACCCGCGCGCCTCGCGATCCTGTAGCCGCCATGCCTGAGTCCCTTTCCTGAAGGAAGAAGCCAGCTCTCGAACTAAGAAGCGAGGGCCGTGGGTCTCGCCTTCCCTTTCCTACGAAGGCTTAGTCCTACCCCGGATTCTGAGCAACGGAGGCTCCTACTCAAACCGCTACAGTCCCCTTCTTAACTTACCCAGAAACAGCGTCCGAGACACTCGCCTCGCGCAGCTCTCGCCTCGCAGCAGGAAAGGGAAAAAAAAGGAGCGGAAGCAGGAACTGCACCTGAGCGACAGTACTGCCAACCAATAGGCAGCCGGCCACGGCGGCCAGGCGTCTTCGGAGGCGTCTGGAAAGCACCAACCAACGATCTAAGGGGTGGGCCGGAGGGCTGTGGGCCCGAGGGCCGGGGTGTTCCGCGGGCCAGTTGCGGGTTGTCAGAACGGTCGCCGCCCGAGTGAGTCGAGGCTGCGTTGCTCAGTCCTGGCCGTCTAGGGCCCGCGTAAGGATGAGAGCGCAGAGGACGCAGGGCCGCTGGAGGCGCAGGTAACGAAGCTAGGGTGCGGTGGGACCACAGCTGGGCTTCTTCGGGGACCCGTGGTGCTGAATGGAGAGGACCGAGACGAAGCCGAGCCGCGGCTCCTAGCGGCGGCGCCGATGCCCGAGCTGTAGCTGCCAGGCGAGGATGTGTGGAGCGCAGGCGGCGCGGGGTAGCTGAGTGCCCTAGGGCCCCAGGACTCCCGGGGCCCGGGATGAGTTAGCGAGGGCAGCCGCGGGGGCCAGTTCTGACCGCGACAGGCCAAGGCGACGGCCGCCGCCCGCCGCCCGCCCGCCCCTTCCGTGCAGAAGCCGCTACTCCTTTCCGCGCCCGCCCGCCCGCGCTCCCGGCCCTGGAGACCATGAGGTTCCGCATTTACAAACGGAAGGTGCTAATCCTGACGCTCGTGGTGGCCGCCTGCGGCTTCGTCCTCTGGAACAGCAATGGGCGACAAAGGAAGAACGAGGCCCTCGCCCCGCCGTTGCTGGACGCCGAAACCCCGCGGGGTGCCGGCGGCCGGGGCGGGGACCACCCATCTGTGGCTGTGGGCATCCGCAGGGTCTCCAACGAGTCGGCGGCTCCCCTGGTCCCGGCGGCCCCACAGCCCGAGGCGGACAACCTGACGCTGCGGTACCGGTCCCTGGTGTACCAGCTTAACTTTGATCAGACACTGAGGAATGTAGATAAGGCTGGCACCTGGTCCGCCCGGGAGCTGGTGCTGGTGGTCCAGGTGCATAACCGGCCCGAATACCTCAGACTGCTGCTGGACTCACTTCGAAAAGTCCAGGGAATTGACAACGTCCTCGTCATCTTTAGCCACGACTTCTGGTCGACTGAGATCAATCAGCTGATCGCTGGGGTGGATTTCTGTCCGGTTCTGCAGGTGTTCTTTCCTTTCAGCATTCAGTTGTACCCTAACGAGTTTCCAGGCAGTGACCCTAGAGATTGTCCCAGAGACCTGCCGAAGAATGCAGCTTTGAAATTGGGGTGCATTAATGCTGAGTATCCCGACTCCTTCGGCCATTATAGAGAGGCCAAATTCTCTCAGACCAAACATCATTGGTGGTGGAAGCTGCATTTTGTATGGGATAGAGTCAAAATTCTTCGAGATTATGCTGGCCTTATACTTTTCCTAGAAGAGGATCACTATTTAGCCCCAGACTTTTACCATGTCTTCAAAAAGATGTGGAAACTGAAGCAACAAGAGTGCCCTGAATGTGATGTTCTCTCCCTGGGGACCTATACTGCCAGTCGCAGTTTCTATGGCATGGCTGACAAGGTAGATGTGAAAACTTGGAAATCCACAGAGCACAATATGGGTCTAGCCTTGACCCGAAATGCCTATCAGAAGCTGATCGAGTGCACAGACACTTTCTGTACTTATGATGATTATAACTGGGACTGGACTCTTCAATACTTGACTGTATCTTGTCTTCCAAAATTCTGGAAAGTGCTGGTTCCTCAAGTTCCTAGGATTTTTCATGCTGGAGACTGTGGTATGCATCACAAGAAAACCTGTAGACCATCCACTCAGAGTGCCCAAATTGAGTCACTCTTAAATAATAACAAACAGTACATGTTTCCAGAAACTCTAACTATCAGTGAGAAGTTTACTATGGTAGCCATTTCCCCACCTAGAAAAAATGGAGGGTGGGGAGATATTAGGGACCATGAACTCTGTAAAAGTTATAGAAGACTGCAGTGAAAAAAATCTCAATTACAAAAGCAAGAGTGACAGTCTTCTATTTTTGATATTTGTCCAAACAGGATATACAATTGAATAAAAGTTTAGGAACTGGTTTCTGCTTTAATAAAAAAAATCTTGTAAAAGGTGTCCAAATACATAATAATCTTTTCCACTTATGTCTGATTAAGATTTAAAACTGAAGGTTTCATTTTGGAAGTAGAGTTTTAAAGCTCAATCTGTATCTGCTAAAAATGATTACTGTTGATTGATAGAAGAGGGGAAATTTTATTTCAATTGCATCTATTAATCTTTTTATCTGAAACTTTGTACACTTTTCCACTTTCAAAACCTATTTTAAGTACAGCAAATTTAAAACTGTCATAGTAAAAAGTATTACAGTGAAATTGTTAGAGTATTAATGGAACAAACCCAGTTTCCCTCTCTTGACACAGTAATTAGGAAGGATTGCTTCAGTGGTTTAAGAATTAAAAAGTTAAATTTGTTTGAACACCCTGTCAGAACCGTCATTTTCAGTATGATAAATTCCTGTACTGTTGTGTTTTGCGTGTGCTTTGAAACCTTCATAAAACACACTTTTTTGGGAATGTATTTGATAAGAAAGTTTAAACATTGTTTTCACCTCAATGTAGAAATACAGTGGTTTTGGTTTTTTTCTTTTAGTGCTGACAAAATAAAATACTCATTTTTGCATAAAAAGGTTCGATATATCCTTTTGCAGAATAAATTTTGTTTACTCTTTATACCAAAATTTAGTGAAGGCATTCTACAAGTTTTGAGTTAGCATTAAATTTTAATATTTACTATTGCTACATTGTATAATTATTTGAAATAATACCCAGCTCATGACAATGCATTCCCTTTGCAAGAAACTGTTTGGCTTTCAAATTACCCAGGCATAGATAATGAACGATAAAAAGTTGCTGTGTAAGGGAAATACAGCCTAAATTGTTTTTGAAAGCCAGAAATGATAACAAAGTTCAGCCATGCCAAAGTGAAATACTTTCTAGTGCCAGCTTCAACTTAAATCATACTTTTTAAAGGGACACATACAGAAAATTATAGGAAACAGGCGTAAATTTTGCTCTGTATTTAATGTAGAAGGTTATAGAATTTTTTCTTTTGAATTGCATTCAACCAAATATTTCTCATAAAAGACTAATTTCTGTATAAAGATTAGGGGCCGGGTGTGATGACTCATGCCTGTTATCCCAGCACTCTAGGACACTGAGGCAGGCAGATCACTTGAACTCAGGAGTTTAAGAACAGCCTGGGCAACATGGCAAAAACCCATCTCTACCAAAAATGCAAAAATTAGTCGGGCAAAGTTGTGCACCTGTAATCCCAGCTACTCGAGAGTCTGGGGTGGAAGGATCCTTTGAGCCTGGGAGGCAGAGGTTGCAGTGAGCCTAGATCATGCCACTGCACTTCAGCTTGGGCAACAGAGCAAGAGTCCATCTCAAAAAAAAAAAGGTTACTTAAACCTAAGAAAACTATTAAATGGCTCTCAAAATTATTGCATCAATTTAAGATTCATAGTGGTTGAAGAGCACGTATGCTCATCAAAGGTGAGGCAACCTTTAGACTTACCCTCATAGCCCAATCTGGTGCTGGATTTTGTCTGGGGGGTTATACATAAGGGTGAATCAGAAGACTGTACCTATTTCTGGCACTCCGACCTGACATCACTAGTTCAAAGAACTAAAGAAATTAGGTTATTTGGCTGGGTGTGGTGGCTCAGGCCAGTAATCCCAGCACTATGGGATGCCGAGGTGGGAAGATCATGAGGTCAAGAGATCAAGACCATCATGGCCAACGTGGTGAAATCCCATCTCTACTAAAAATACAAAAATTAGTGCACCTGCAGTCCCAGTTACTTGGGAAGCTGAGGCAGAATTGCTTGAACCTCGGAGGCGGAGGTTGCAGTGAACCGAGATTGCACCACTGCACTCCAGCCTGGCGACAGAGTGGGACTCTCTCCAATAAAAAAAAAGAAAAGAAAGAAATTAAGTGGTTTCCAGAACTGAGCTAAGAAGGCCAGAATAAAGTAGTAGCAGTTTTTGAAACAGAAATAGATCAGCTCCTGGCTTTGGGATTAGTGATTAATCAACAAGTATTTTCCTTTCTGCATTTCCTTCCTTTCATTTTCTTGGGCTGTCCTAAAAATTTTTGTGAGGAAAAAAACCTGTTAGGATCATCTCTTTGCCTCACATTTTAGGTGTTATGAAAGACCCTGATTATGTAGGAAGCTGAGATGAAAGGGTAACTTGAGCCTAGGAGTTTGAATCCAGCCTGGACAACATAGCAAGACCCTGTATCTTAAAAAAAGAAAGCAAGAAAGTGATTGATTAGGAAACACTGGCTTTTTGTTTTGGTTTTTGTATAGTAATATAATGAAAGCAATTTTCCTATCAGAGCAAATTACCAGATTTTTTAAATTCCAGTTGTACTCTTAACTTTCTGTAAAACTGAAAGATGTTTCAGTATTTCAATAACTTCCAAGAAATACTTCAAAACTGAATTTTCAAAATCATTATTAAATAACTAAGTCTATTATATATATAGTTTGTGTGACAGAAAAGTAAAATATAGAGTTGATGAAAAATACTACATTTTTTCTGGTGTATTTGTATCATAATTGTTGAGATTAATAAAGTTCTTTCCCCTCTAAACTCTATTTTAAGCTTAAATATGTCCTATTTAGTGAGACTTAGAAAGTTTTGAAATTCTACCCCCTCCACATGTACTCGTAATTCCAGTTAATTGCATTCTTGAGAATTACTTTGTATGACAAACACAACTTAGTGACTATTTTCAAATTTTATTCAAGTAATGATGAAAGCAAAATTTAACACAGAAGTGTGTGTGTGTGTATATATATATATATATATATATATGTTGTATTAAAACTAAATGTTTAACTTTCCAATACAAAATATACACATTACAAGAATCACAAAACTTCTATCTATAACGAAACTTTAAACCCCAGAAGCAAGAAAAAAAAATCGCCAATTTACCCCATGAGAATCAAAATTGCAATTAAAACTTTTTTAAAATCAATGTTAGATACAGGCATTCTTTAACCTTAATATTTAAAGTTCAAAATTATATAGAATTAATCCAAATCATATAGCAAAGAATTCTGAAAACTGAATGCACAATTGGTCACATGACTTTTAATGACCTGTACACTACCATCCTGCATATTGGTTTCTTTTATGCTGTCAAATCCAGGTACATTGTGAACTACAGTTTTGTTCAGTAATGAAGATAGGTGATTTCCATCTATTTCTTTCTCTTCAGTTATTACTAGCTTGTTTAAGTTATCTTTTTCCTCATGTGAGCAAGTAGCACTTTTTTCTTTTATAAATTCAGATTGCATTTTTGACTCAGGTTGCTGAGCTTTTCCAAGTATCATTTGAGAAACATCAAGAGACTCTTGTTGAAAGCATGTAACTGAACCAAAGCTATCTATTTGTAGTGCTTTAACTTCTACAGATGAATCAGAATCAGTTGTCGAGGTTTTACAATGTTCTATATATTCCTTTTCAGTTAGATGACTTTCTTCATTTACTCTTTCTTCCTTTGCTTGTAGCTGATCAGAGTTACTACATTCTTGCAACTGTGTCAAGAGAAACAACAAATTAATAATTCTTTGAAATATACAAAATTGTAGTAACTGCCGGAAATAAAAATTTTAACAGTTCTGAAGTAATAGCCCTCACAGACCTGCAGGTGTACCTCCAGGCCTCTCTGTCAAAGTCATCCTCCAGCGTGGCCACGGTAGCTCATGCCTGTGATCCCAGCACTTTGGGAGGCCAAGGTGGGTAGATCACTTGAGGTCAAGAGTTCGAGACCAGCCTGGCCAACCAACATGCTGAAATCCCATCTCTACTAAAAACACAAAAATTAGCCAGATGTGGTGGTGCACACCTGTAATCCCCTTTACTTGGGAGGCTGAGGCAGGAGAATCACTTGAACCCGAAAGGCAGAGGTTGCACTGGGCCAATTTCGTGCCACTGCATTCAAGCCTGGGTGACAGAGTGAGACCCTGTCAAAAAAAGAAGCAAAGAAAGAAAAAAAAGACAAGCAGCATTTGAAGGATGGCTTTTTTTTGTTTCTTTGTTTTTTTTTTGAGACAGTCTCACTCTGTTGCCCAGGCTAGCACAATCTCTGCTCACTGCAACCTCTGCCTCCGAGTTCAAACAATTCTGCCTCAGCCTTCCAAATAGAGAGGATTACAGGAATGTACCACCATGCCCAACTAATTTTTGTATTTTTAGTAGAGACAGGGTTTCACCATGTTGCCAAGGCGTGTCTTGAACTCCTGACCTCAGGTGATCCGCCTGCCTCGGCCTCCCAAAGTGCTGGGATTACAGGCGTGAGCCACCACGCCTAGCCTACCAGCAGTCATATTTTAACATTATAAACCTGGCATTAATATCCTGATTATATTTTCACAACAGTAATCCACACTTTTGAACATGGTCTACAAAACTCTTTAACAGTTATTCTTTATTTTCTTTTTTTGAGACAGAGTCTCACTCTGTTGCTCAGGCTGGAGTGCAGTGGCACGATCTCTGCTCACTGCAACCTCTGTCTCCCGGATTAAAGCGATTCTCCTGCCTCAGCCTCCGGAGTAACTAGAACTACAGGTACCCACCACCACACCAGACTAATTCAATTATTCTTACAAGCACATTGTTGAATTTCTTGAATTTTCTTAAATTCCTCTAATTTTTCAGAGCTGCCCTTCTAATAATATGTCTGTCAATTGTGGTAGTTACTAAATTATTTGCATCTTCAATACTGAAGACTATAAAGATAACCAAAATTAAGGTTGAATTAGAAATAATGTACAAATTGTATAACATAGTTCCCATGGTTTGGGAGTCAAAAAAGGCTGTGTATGTCCCTGCACTAGTACTCAAACTTCCTCAAACTTCGTAAGTGTTAGTTTCTCTTTGTTCCTCATTGTAGGATTATTTTGGGATTAAATGAGATTATGTGAAAATAAATAGTAAAGTGTTCAGAACATTGTAAATACACAGTCAAAAGGCTATGCTTGGCCAGGCAAGGTGGCTCACTTCTGTACTCCTAGCACTTCAGGAGGCCAAGGTGGGTGGATCACGAGGTCAGGAGATCGAGACCATTCTGGCTAACACGGTGAAACCCCATCTCTACTAAAAATACAAAAAATTAGCCAGGCATGGTGGCACACGCTTGTAGTCACAGCTATTTGGGTGGCTGAGGCAGGAGAATCCCATGAACCTGGGAGGCAGAGGTTGCAGTTTGCCGAGATCATGCCACTGCACTCCAGCCTGGGCAACAGAGGGAGACTCCCATCTCAAAAAAAAGAAAAAAAAAAAAAAAAAAAAGCTTTTGTGGCCATCACTGAAGCAAGAGTGGCCAAAATGAAGATCAATCACTTTTTGACTTCTGACCAAAGCAAGAATCGTTAAAGGCATTTCAATGCACCTTCCCACATTTGCAAGTATTATGTATTCCCCTCTTTCCAAAGAGCTGAGACAGAAGTACAACATGCAATCCATGCCCATTTGAAAGGATGATGAAGTTCAGGTTGTACAAAGACACTATAAAGGTCAGCAAATTGGCAAAGTAGTCCAGCTTTACAGGAAGAAATATGTCATCTACATGAATGGGTGCAGCAGGAAAAGGCACAACTGTCCACGTAG